GAGCAGAGAATGGGTGTTACATGGAGTTTCTAGGCTAACACAGGAGCTCAGTAAATATTCGTTAAACTCATGACAAAATGGAAGCCTAAATCATGCTATTCAGATATAAGAGACTGAAGTTCCTCTGGCTGGATGAGGTTGGGAAAGTGTCCACCCAGAAGGCGACTCAGCCTTAGAGCCGCCCTGGCCGGTCACCCCTGCTCCTGAGAATTTTCCCATTGAGGCCCTCCCCCAGGGGGATGCTGGAGTGGGTATCCTTCTCCTGTCTGAATCAGAAGAACAGAGAGCATCTGTGTTGGAAATCTCCATGGAGTTGGCTTTGGGCTTTCCCAGACTTTAGCCAGTGAAGTGACTTTTCCTTCATAATCCAAGGAAATGTTCTTCTCTCTGGGTTTTCAGGTGAGGAATGAACCCTCGATTTCTGCCAATTGCCTCCTTTTCCAGAAGAATCTCTCTTCTTCCTCTCCCCCATCCAGAGCAGCATGGCCCAAGAGCTTGGATACTGGGTATCCTATAAATCTGGGTTTGAATCTCAGGTCTTCCCCTTATTTGCTGGCTATGTGACCTTGTCAAATATTACCCAAGCCTGCTTCTTCCTCTGTGAAGTGGGGAAAATAATGCCTGCCTTGCAGGGGCATTTCATGAAAATGTATGTAAAGTGCCAAGCACATAAAAACTTCAAGATAGGGTGTCCAAAAGATGGACCCATTAAAAAGCTCGAGATACCGTTTCTTCTCCCACCCCAGGCTCTTAACATAAACACTAGTTTTGTCTCTTTATTAAAAAGAATTTCTTGGGAATTCCATGGTGGTCCAGTGATTAGGACTTGGTTCTCTCACTGCCAGGGCCCCGGGTTCAGTCCCTGGTCGGAGGACTAAGATCCTGCAAGCTGGGCAGAGCAGCCGGCCAGAAAAAAAAAAAAAAAAAGTTAGCTTATAGGCAGCCCCAAGGGTAAGCTGTATTATCTAGTGGATACAAATATCAATTTTTTTAATAATTAAAAAAAATATTTGGCTATGCCAGGTCTTAGCTGCGGCATGTGGGATCCTTGCTGCCGCGTTTGGGATCTCTTTTTTTTAGTTGCAGCATGCAGGATCTAGTTCCCTGACCAGGGATCGAACCTGGTCCCCCTGCATTGGGAGCGAGGAGTCCCAACCACTGGGCCACGAGGGAAGTCCCACAAATGTCAATTTTTAAGAAATATATTATTTTGTAATAGAGCAGAGATAATTCCTCAGGTACTATCAGAGCTTAAATGAAATTTTCTGTAAATCTTCCAATGCCTGTTTAGCCTAAGGAAATAACTGGTTGGGTACTCAAAGATGTTATATAAAAGGATGGTCACTGCAGTGTTGTTTGTAAAAGTCAAGCTTAGAATCAAATTATAACTATTGAGGATTATAAGATAAAATAAGTTATAGTAATTTTTTACAATACAAAATTTTTTACAATTTTTTACAAAAGTGTAACCTTTAAGAAGATTCTGTAGAAATATATTTAATTGCATGGAAAGGTGTTCTTACTGTACTAAGTGAATAAAATAAATTATAAATTAGCATTGTAGTGTGGTTCCATTTTTATTATATATGTGCATGATATTTGAATGGATATATGTTAAATGTGAAGTGTTTATCTCTGGGTGTGGGAGCATGGATAGCTTTTATTTTTATGCATAACTATCTTCTAATTTTCCCACAATGAATATGTATTATGTGTATATGAGATAAGGGAAAATGAACATGCAATCCTTTTTATCCTTATTTTAGACACTTCAACACCCTTTTGATTTTTCAAATTTGGTCTCTTCAAGGCCATTCTTAAGAAGATACAGGAACAAAGTTATATCTAGGTGAACGACTTAAAATGGATATCAAAGGCAGTCTTTTTTTAAAAATATCTTGTTAGATATTGGTTTGTTTTTTTTGCGGTACGCAGGCCTCTCACCGTTGTGGCCTCTCCCGTTGCGGAGCACAGGCTCCGGACGCGCAGGCTCAGCGGCCATGGCTCACGGGCCTGGCCGCTCCGCGGCATGTGGGATCTTCCCGGACCAGGACACGAACCCATATTCCCTGCATCAGCCGGTGGACTCTCAACCACTGCGCCACCAGGGAAGCCCTGTATTTTTTTTTTTTTTAACTTATTTATTTATTTATTTTTGGCTGTGTTGGGTCTTTGTTGCTGCATGCGGGCTTTCTCTAGTTGTGGCGAGCAGGGGCTATTCGTTGTGGTGCATGGGCTTCTCATTGAAGTGGCTTCTCTTGTTGCAGAGCACGGGCTCTAGGCATGCAGCCTTCAGTAGTTGTGGCTCGAGGGCTCTAGGGTGCAGTCTCAGCAGTTGTAGCACATGGGCTTAGTTGCTCTGCGGCATGTGGGATCTTCCCGGACCAGGGCTCGAACCCGTGTCCCCTGCATTGGCAGGTGGATTCTTAACCACTGCGCCACCAGGGAGGCCTCTCAAAGGCAGTCTTGAATTTTTTTTTTCACACAAAAAAAGAGGTGTGAATGAAGGGGAAACAGATGTTCCTACTCTGTTTTAGTATTATTGTTCGTTTGGTTTTTTTTAGAAACCACAGATAGCACTGTGGCCTCCCCTCAGGTGATTGCTTTGTAAAGTCCCGAGTCCTCTTCCTTGTTCCAGTTGTTTAAAACAAGACAACAGGCCCCAAATGGAGTCACTTATGCTAACCACACATCACCAAACCGGGACTTAATATTTAACTTAATTATAGTTTCAGCTCTCCCCGAAATGGAATCTTAAACCAGTCAACCAGGAACTACTTGGTCAGCACTAGTGAGGTAATCTGTTCGTTAGAGCCCTGCCGTCCCCTAAAGGAAAGTGTCCTTGCCACAGCCAATCCACTTTTTGCTAGTATAACTTCCTTGCCCCCATTCCCTCCTATAAAAGTTTTTCATTTTGTACAGCTCATTGGAATGCCTTTCTATCTGCAACATGGGATGCTGCCTGCTCCATGAATTGTTGAATAAAGCCAACAAGATCTTCAAAGTTTACTCAGTTGAATATTGTTTTCTAACACTACTCACTGCAGAGTGAGATGCTCAAGTCACCAGCACAGAGCACTTATCCCAATGGCTCTAGGACTTAGTTTCCTGGGTATCTCAAAACTGGGAAAAGGGCACAGGATAACAGATACATATCTGACCCTGGAAAGAAGATATCTATTTCTCCTATAATAAATTAATAAAATAGTCTTCTGATTTAAAAATGGTTCCTGGGAATTCCCTGGTTGTCCAGTGGTTAGGACTCTGTACTCTCACTGCCAAGGACCCGGGTTCAATCCCTGGTGGGGGAACTAAAAAAAAAAAAAAATTCCTGAGAATTTGCCTAGCACGGATATTCCCTGAAAAACTGATTAAATGCTTTTAAACATTTATTGAGTAAATGTCCTAGGTTTGGTAAGAAAAAAATAATAAAATAGGGTCCTTGCCTTAAAGGAGTCTGAAGCCTAGTTGGGGCAGACCGACATATAAGTAAATAACTGTAAAAAAAAAAAAATATGAGAAAGGTCATAACCGATTTTTTTTTTTTTTAGCGATACGCGGGCCTCTCACTGTCGTGGCCTCTCCCGTTGCGGAGCACAGGCTCCGGACGCGCAGGCTCAGCGGCCATGGCTCACGGGCCCGGCCGCTCCGCGGCATGTGGGATCTTCCCAGACCGGGGCACGAACCCGTGTCCCCTGTATCGGCAGGCGGACTCTCAACCACTGCGCCACCAGGGAAGCCCCATAACCGATTTTTGAACAAAGTGATAATAGCACTTGGACATGATAACTTGAGGTTTTAGGGATGAATGGGAAAAATCGCTACCAAGCCAGAGGAAGTATCAGGAGGAGGAGAAAATTGTGTGTCACAGCTTTGAACAGCCAAGTTATTTGGGCAGAAAGATCAGTTTCTCTCCTTGAAAAATTGATGACCAGACTCTGTGTACAGGGTACTTCAAGGTACCACAGTCTGGTACACCCAGTGAGCGCTTCCCATCAGGGTACCATAGTGAATGCTTGTCTAGGAAGCAGGTTCGAAAATTCAACTGAGGTGTTTGTAGAAAATTATCAGATATCTCCAGGGCTTCAAGAAACACTTAAGATAGAACTCAAGTATGGCTTCAGCCAAGTGCTTAACTTTTCTCATACACTTAAAAGCGTTACCTTTTGCTAATTGTGTTACTCAACCTGCTGACAATAATTTATGCGGCTCGGATCTTTCCGGGTGTGTTGGCGGGGTAGCTGGAGCGAGGAATGGAAACAATAATGGCAGGCAAGATAGAGGCCAAGAGGGAGACGTCAGATTGCGACCTTCAATTTCTTTTTTATTTATTTATTTATTTTTGGCTGCGTTGGGTCTTTGCTGCTGCCCGGGCTTTCTCTAGTTGCCACGATCAGGGGCTACTATCACACTCTTCTTTGCGGTGTGCGGGCTTCTCATTGCAGTGGCTTCTCTTGTTGCCCAGCCCCGGCTCTAGGCGGTTGGGCTTCAGTAGTAGTGGCACAAGGTCTAAGTAGTTGTGGCTCACAGGCTCTAGAACGCAGGCTCAGTAGTTGTGGCTCACGGACTTAGTTGCTCGGACCAGGGCTCAAACTCGTGTCCCCTGCGCTGGCAGGCGGATTCTTAACCACTGTGCCACCAGGGAAGTCCCAACCTCCGATTTCTTTTGAGTTTCAATTTTTCTTTATGTGATCACCGACCTGAATGGTTCCAGTACCTACTCTGATCTTAACCTTCCTCTTGACTTTCTCTCTCTCAACCAGTTCTCCCGGATTCCTGGGTCTCCTGGCTTAGCAGCTGACCACTTCCCTTGTAGGTCCGCCCTTCTTTCCTAGCCCCATCCCCAATTTCAGCCCTCACCCCGGAGCCCTCTCTGCCTCAGCGGCAGCCGCGAGCGAGGCCAGGCCAGGTTGGGAGGCCGCATGCCCAGGGGGCGGGGCCTGGCAGCGGCCGCGGGTGGAGGGGCGGGCTCGGCTGGGCGAGGCGGCGCAGGCGCACTGTGTCCGCCGTGCCGAACCGCAGCTATGGAGCAGGCGCTTCCCGACCCCGAGCGGCGTTTGCAGCCTGCGACCCTAGAGCCGCTGGGCCACCCTGACGCTGGGCTGGAGTCTGCGGTCGGTGAGGAAGCGGAGGGGGCCCGGGACGAGGGCCCCGGGGACGGCACGGTGAGGAGAAGAGGCGGCAGAGGTCGCCCGGCCTGGGTCGGGGCCTAGCGGGCAAGGCTGGGCTGGTCTAGCCTGGCCGGGGCCGGTGGGCTCGGCCGAGAGGCCCCGCGGTGACTGGGAAGCGGGGTGGAAAAGTCGGGCCACAGGTGCAGAGTGGGGTGAGGCTCAGTGGGAAATGGGGGTTCTGAGTAGGGGGCGAGCGCCGGGCGCTGCAGGACCACGGGAAGGGTGAAGGGGGCGCGGCGGAGGGCTTTCTGTGGGTGCGGCTCGGCGGGCGTGGAGATGGGGCCCGGGAAGCGCTAGGCTGGCGTAGGTGCGGTTTTCAGGGTCGGGAAGCCTGGGAGTTTGGACCTGAAAAGGAACGCAGATGTTTCTGGCATCTTGTAAGGGGTTGTGCGGAGGAGAAGACTTAACGGAGGCACCGTGGGCAGTGGCAGCGGTGTTTGAGAAGGAAGAGAATGGGGGACTTGCAGAACAAGTCTGGGGCAGTAAGGGTGGTTGGCTTGGTGTCACCATCAGGAGATGGAGCAAAGTGTTAGAGTCATGAAAAAGTACAAGTGAAAAAGATTTAAAAGAAAACTCCTTGTTTGACTGTAATTTCTTCATTTGGGGTCGGTGCTGTATCTCCCAGTGGAGACATGTCATGGATATCCCATGTATCTGCTTTGAGAAGCTCCTTTGGTAATTAGTGATTTTCATTTGCTTGAGGAAAGGAGAAAATGCATCATTTTATATTTGTAATTGCTTTCATTCCGAAGTGTTTTCGTGCGTAATGCAGGATGGGTAGACCAGGTTGAACTGAAGCGATTCATAAACTCAGTGGAGTACTTCTCATCAGACCACCCTAATCAGAGTGTGCATTGCTCGTCCATTTTGCTTCTTTTTTTCTGAAACAGGTGTTAGTGCTAATGCAAAACTGCCCATCCTTATGGTCAATGGATAAAGAAAAGTTAAAGTTGTTTGCTGACTGAAGCTAGAAAGGCTTAACTAGCTAGGAACTTCAACATTGGAGTTGAACGTTTTGCCTACTTGGGGGAAATGTCGAGATATATAGGATAGCATGAAGACTTTTATGGGTGAATTTTAAGTTTTTCATTTAATTTCTTCCCAAATTCTAGAATTATTTGTGGAGAAGTCAGTATCTCATACGAAATGTGAGAAAAGTGTGTGTATTCTGTAGTGCATAAACTTGGCTCTTAAATGATTTGCTTTTTTAATGAAGGTTCCCATCTGTGACTTAGTTTTTCTGTTCTCTTAAAAAGAAAAGAAGGGAGGGAGGGAGGGAGGGAGGAAGGAAGGAAGGAACTTTTATCGTGAAGTATACCATTAATGCAGAGAAGGGTCTCACAAAATAATTATCAGTTCTTTTGAAGCCTCCATATATTCTCCTGGGTTACATCCACTCCCTCCACCACAGAAGTAATCTATATTCTGAATTTTGTATTAACAATTCTCTAACTTTTTAAAGACAATCTTATGGTAAGTGTCCCTAAACAATGTATTGTTTAGTTTTACTTGATTTTGAAGTTTACATAAGTGGACTAGTTTTACTATGACTTCCTTTCTTTGCTCTATAATGTTTTGGGGATTCATTGAAAATGTAGCTTAGTTCATTTATACTCATGGCTCTTTAGTATGCCATTTTATAGATATTCTATAGTTGATTTCTCTTTTCTTCTGTTTACAGACACTGGCGTTGTTACAAGATTCTTGCTATTTCTAAAAGTTACTACTACCATGAACTTCTTCCTGCATATTCTTGGCGCAAATGTCTCATATAAACTTAACAGTGGAATTGCTGGATTATAGGGTGGTAGCATAGGATATAAGGTAGTAGGTAGTGCCAAATTGTTTTTTAGAGTGAATATACCAATTTGTATTCCCATTGGTAGTGCCTCATGCTCTCTGTCCTTGTCAACACTTAATATTTTCAGACTTTAAATTATTTGCCAATCTTGTGGATATGTGTTAAAGCAATTTTAGATTGTTTCCAAAGGTAAGAGTCATATATTTTGTTAGCTACATCATGAGTTTAATTTTGATTATGATGATGAACATTTTGGTAATTTTTTTGTGAAAGCCTTTGGATACTTAATTAACTAATATGAAGTTGCAACTATAATATAAAATCCATTTATGTTTATTTAAAAGTGATTATAAATATCTCATTAAAAAAATACCTATGTGTTCAGTTTAAGATATTTGAAAACCCAAATATGCCATCGTACAGTAAAAGTTGTAGTTACGCAGTATTACCTGACTCTTCAGTAAATATGTGTTGCAGGAGACCATTCATTATTGCCCAAACTTAAGAGTTTCCTCAAACAACTCTGTAATTTAGTAATTTATAGAGATATAAGCCATTTGGACAAATATTTCAGAATCACCAGGAGTTTAAAAACACACATTCACATGCACTGTGTACGTTGTTCCCTCCTCCTAAAAGATTCCTCAGTCTCCTCCTTAGAAGGTCTGCTCGTCCCTCTTCCTATCCCCTCTTCCACTCCAGTCCATCCCCAGTTGAGAAGTATTGCAGTAACCACAGCCAGGCTGCTACTGTTACTGGTAGATAGGAATGTGGTCTGGGCAGACATGTAAGTTCCATTTGTTGTTTGTGCTAGGCACAGTAAGGCTCTACTTTTCATTTAATTTTCAGAATTAACCCCCAAAAGACATATAAAGATGAGGAAGCAGAGGCACAGAGAGAAGTGATTTGGCCAAAGTCACAAGCTAGTCAGTGGCATGGCTGGGATTTGAGACCAGGTCTGCCTGGCGTTGATATCAGTGCTTTGTTCATTAAGGCATGCAGCTTCATTCCCAAAAAAAAAAAAAAAAAAAAAGTTAAAAATAGTCTTGTAAATTGTAAAATACTGTACTTAAAATTTTTTACTTTAGTTAAGGGTTAAGTTGTTATGTTAAGAAAAAGAGGTCTGAACACAGTGTTGGTTTATCAGTCAGTTTTTCACCACAGAGATACCTATGCAGATAGTGGGCAGAGATGGCAAAAAGCCTCATCAGCCTTATTTTTGACCGCACATTTTGGATGGAGAGGAAGTTGTACCAGTTGCCCTACACCTCGGGGTAGTGGAAACAAGCACTGTCTAAGGGTTGCAAATCTTTTCTGGTTTTAAACGTCACTAATTAAGATTCTTTAAGTTCTGTTGTAAACTCTTTTTCTGTATTCTCTTATTTTTCTTTCTGTGAGTCTTCATCCTCTTTCTTTCCGTTGTCTAATTAGAAGTCTCCTTTCTTTTCATACTTTTTCCTTATAAGGAAGAGTATATTTTTTTTAAGTATTGTCGGTTTTATTTAAAGTAGTTTAGAATATGAAAAATGAGAGATGAATTCAGTCTCCAAGAGAGTAGTAATTAGTCCTGGCAGAAGAGAGAGGAAATAGCAAGGGAATGGACGTAAAAATACTTTTTTAGGCTGGAAGATTCCACTGAGTTGGCAGTTAACAGTATTTGCTCAGAGAAGAACCACTGCCTGAGGGATGCATAATGATTTTTGTAGGGAGAGGGGTCTAGGCCTAGCAGTGCTGGTTGCCGCTAAGACTGCTTGAGCAACCGATGCTTGAAAATGCCTATACACAATTAGCACCTTCACAGATTGGCAGCACAGAGCTGAGTGGAGGAGGCCAGAACAGTGGGGAAGATTTGAGGCGTTTGTGGGTGAAGATAACATGAAAAAGGAAAAGAAAATGTATAGGCATAGTTACAGAATTTATCAGTTTAGTAGCAGATAATTAAGTCATTCTCAAGAATGTTTTCCTCATTTTCTACCTTGGCAGCTCTCAGATTTTTTTGAAGGCGACTCACAGTACAAAATACGTTTTTACGTCATAGTCAGTATACATATACTTGTATACATAAGCGTTGTTTCAGGAAACAATACTTAACCATTACTTCACGTAGTGCCCTCTTAATATTTCTCTCTTCTTTTTCTTTTTTTAATTAATTAATTATTATTATTATTTTTGGCTGCATTGGGTCTTCGTTGCTGTGCGTGGTCTTTCTCGAGTTGCGGCGAGTGAGGGCTACTCTTCGTTGCAGTGCAGTGGCTTCTCTTGTTGCGGAGCATGGGCTCTAGGCACGCGGGCTTCAGTAGTTGTGGTGCATGGGCTCAGTAGTTGTGGCTTGCGTGCTCTAGAACGCAGGCTCAGTATTTGTGGCACATGGGCTTAGTTGCTCCGCGGCATGTGGGATCTTCCCGGACCAGGGCTCGAACCCGTGTCTCGTGCATTGGCAGGCGGATTCTCAACCACTGCGCCACCAGGGAAGTCCCGTCAGTTTGGGTTTGCCTGATGTTTTCTCATGATTAAATTCAGGTCATGCTTCTTTGGCAGAAATTGGCTGTGTTCTTCTAATTGTTTCTTACCAGTCTGCACACGATTAGATTTGGTCACTTTTTCTGCCAGTCTTCTCCAATATAAAGTTACTCTTTTTCCCTTTGTAATTAATTTTTTGTGGACATAATTTTTTTTCTTCCAGTTTTATTGAGATATAATTGGCATACAGCACTATATATGTTTAAGGCATACAGCATAATGATTTGACTTGCAGTATTCATGAAATGAACATCGATCAGCTCATATAGATAGAAAATTTAATAAATAGAAAAGAATTTTTTTTTTCTTGTGATGAGAACTCATAGGATTTACTCTCTTAACGACTCTCATAGGGGCTTCTCTGGTGGTGCGGTGGTTAAGGATCTCCCTGCCAATGCAAGGGACCCGGGTTTGAGCCCTGGTCTGGGAAGATCCCACATGCCGCAGAGCAACTAAGCCCGTGAGCCACAACTACTGAGCCCACCCGCCGCAACTACTGAAGCCCATGCACTCTAGGGGCCCGCATGCCGCAACTACTGAGCCTGCATGCTGCAATTACGGAAGCCAGTGTGCTTAGAGGCTGTGCTCCGCAACAAGAGAAGCCGCTGCTTGCAGCAACTAGAGAAAGCCCAAGTGCAGCAAGGAAGACCCAACGCAACCAAAAAAAGAAAAG